TTGTTTTAAAGAATATTCCTTGTTGTTGTTAATATTGTCAATTAACTTTTTTAATGAAATCTCAAGTTCAGTAATATGTTATTTTATTTTAAAATCTATTTTAATTACAGAATTAAAATTCTATTCGGTAATTATTACTGAATACTGTAAATTTAATAAAGCCTATATCTACAATTACTACCTTTAATTTGCATAGATCCGATTCTACATTTTCTATCAATTTTTATACTAAACAAATATACAGTAGATTCATCAGAATCAATTTCAAGATCCTTGATTACCAAATCATTTAATTCAAATGAATTTTTTTGCAACTCTTTGTTTTCTAAATTTAATTTAGTTGCTTTGATTTTTTCAATCACATTATCTTTCATACAAAGAATAATTTGTTGCTTTGAGTTACTTGCCTCATTACATGCATTTATAGAATAAGTAGAATTTGTAACAAAAAATCCTACAGTACCTTCCGCTTGTTTTGCTAATACTGCAGAAAATTCTCGAATATCTTTTGACCAACCTTATATTTATCTGCTTTGTTTTTAACCTGTATGATATACTTCATCAATCTGTAATTACCAAATAAATTAATTCCACCATCACCAATAGAGGTAAATATTGAATTGACAAAATAACCTGTTCTTGTTGTATTACATTCAATTAAATTTTCTCGTAAAAGTTGTAAAAGAAAAAGTTCAAGTTCGTCACCTTTTTGCTTTGGTGTTAATTAAAAATAAAAAAATATGAGTAAAATATTATCATTGTTTCAATCAAAATTTCTAATACTAAGTACTATTCATGACCAAAGTCTAATGCTACTTTTTTCACAAAATTTTGTTATCAAAATTTATACAGGAAGTCTGCAGTGTAACTTATATTTTGATAAAGAAACTAAACAAAATATAAAGTAAAAAATATTTACCTTTTTTTGCTCTATTTTTAGTTATGTAAATAAACTCTATTCAGTTTAAAACTGAATAGAACTTTCTTTATTTTTATATTCTTTTTAAACTCTATTTATAATTTGTTCTGAAATTTTCTTTTCTCTTTCAGTCATTATTTACATTTATAATATTAAAAATCTACTCAGTTAAAAACTGAGTAGAATAAATATTTATTACAAATAAATGAATAAAAAATAAAATTTAAAAAAAATTAATTAATAATCACTCCCTCCTAAAATTTTCATGTCTTGGATCACTTGCTAATCTTTTTTCAACTTCTTTTCGAGAATAATATCCGTTGTTATTAGGGCTTTCAATATGCTCTTCAGTAATACTACTAGTTTTAACACCATTATCAATTTCTTCAATAGGTTTAGGCTCTTTACAACGTCTTTTATTTCTAAGACTTCTAAACTTACTATTAATAGCCTCAGAAATTTGGCTATAACTTTTTTTAATTGAACTAGTTACTTTAAGATTTGCTAATTCTTTTAAATCATACAGAATCCATGAATCATTATTTGTTAGTTTAGTTTGGACCAGAACTAGATCATCAATAACTGAAAAATATATTGCAGTTTTAAATAAACATGTATTTTCATTAGAAAATTCTCTAAATTTTTTATAGAAACAAACAAATATAAGTTCTTTTAATTCAATATCTGCTTCTTCTAAAGCTTCTCTTCGGGCACATTCTTCAAATGTTTCATCTTTTTCTTTAACTTTGTCTGTTGCTTGAAAATAATCATAAAAATCTTTTTGAGCATTACACCTTTGACTAAGCCAAATCTTTTTATCAGCAGAAATTAATAAATATAAGAAAAATTCTCTAATTTGTTGCTCATATTTATTAATTGTGGCTTGATATTATTGCATCAAATTAATATTAATTTCAATTTGACTTCTAATTTTTTTGATTACAGTATCAGCATCTGTAATAAATCCACATTTTTTAATATCTTTTAATATATTAATAAAAGCAAAATATTGAGGATTAAAAGCATTTAATGCTTGAAAATTTTCTTTTGCTAAATTATATTCTTTCATATTTTATGGTTATATAAATAAAAATTTAATTGGTCTTAAAAGACTGATTAATTGGCAAATCACGAGTCATCTAAACAAATATTTTTTTTTTTTATATATAAATTTTACTATAAGCCCGAATGTGGAGCGCGTCTATCTAAAACTTTTTTTTTACT